AAAACGTTGCCCAATTTTTTTTTTTTTCTTCCCCGTTTTTTTTTCCCTTCCCTTTTCTTCCTTTCCCCTTCCCAAAAGGGCGGCCGGAGACCCTTTTTTTGGGTTTTGGGGGGGGGGGGGTTCCGTGACAAAGATTTTGGGTGGGGGCGGGGTTTTTATTACCTTTTTGGCCCCCTTCCCGCTAAAATTTGGTTCGGCCTTTTTCTTCCGTTTGTTTTTGTTTTTCCAACCCACCCCCGGCCCTTGGACAAAGGGGTTTTTTGGGGGGGGTTCCCCCGTTTTTTCTTCCAAAGGGAGGGTGGGGGTCCCCCTCACTTTTTCTTGGTTCAAGGGGGGGGGGGGGGGGGCGACAGCAACAAATGCCTTCCAACACGACAAAAAAAGAAAAAAAACTGCGGGCTTCGTCAACCAACGGTGCCTAGCTCCCTGCCGAACAGACTGTTTTCCGCTCCGCAAGTCGCCTGTTATCATCAAAAAGTTAGCACGCGCGGCGCATCCGATGGCTGTCCAAAACGACCTCTATGTACGTACCCAGCAAGCGCGGAGATCTAGCGGAATAAAACGAATGATAAAAACAAAAGCGGCCGTCTCCGTTTCTAACATGAATTGAACCGTTTTCTCTCCCGTAAACAGATAGATTACGCCTCCTCGATTTGCGCAACCAATGCCAGTCAACGACACACTTTTGACGCCTGGACCCACTGGTGTCTGCAAAAGGTGAAGTGCCATCCAGAAGAAAGCGTAATCAACTACAGCGGCATAGGGTGTCTGTAGTAGTCACCGGTTCGAGGGTACAATTTTAATTTTCGAAGCGCATTCTTGCATTGTATGCATGCGCAAAATCCTCGACGTGTTAGGTACCCTTTAGGACGACTCGACTGGTACATCCTCTTCTTCCCCGTCCCCCTTGTGCGGCTGGCTAACGTGGCTTAGGTAGCCTCCCCACGCGATGGACATGAAGGAGTTGAACAACGGCCGGTGGGCCGTCGGCACGTAGGCGTACAGGATCATGTCGTAGATCGGCCACACCTGCGTTTGTTTCAGTTTTTCGATTTCAAGAGGGACAAGAACAAAGAGTATATACATACAAGGGAGGTGTGTGGCGTGGATCATCGTCATCTTCTAAAAGATGGGGTCTACAGATGGAACGCAATTCAAACGGCGGCGGCGGCGGCGGCGGCGGCGGGGGTGTATGTGCTGCCCTATCGAACCTACCATGCATGAATACCGCTTTAACCAACAAGTAGTGCATCGGGTTTGGTCGGCCCTACAGCAGAACTTGTTTTCGATTTCGTCCTTTGTATTCCTTTTAGTGTGGGGTTAGGTCAGCAGGCTAACAAGGCTCCATCCCGGGGGAGTCAAGTCTGTCACGGCTGTCTTGGCCTTGGGGCAATGACAAGGGTCTGAGAGATGCCACCAAAGCAAGAGCAGGCTAGAACATCCAACGGGTGCGGCCACGGCTTGGCGCAGCACTGCCGACGACGGCTTCGTGCCGTATGAATTTAGATCCCTTTCACCACACGTCGTGAGGACTGTGGGTGGCGATTCCGCGAAAGCATTCTCCCGACCGATGTTCAGGAATTCTTGTATTTTATTGGGCGGGGCTGGGGTGATGTTCAGGGTGCACACATGCATTGTCTACAATGATGCGCTTTGGTTTTCAAAGGGGTAGATGGCCAACATCCCACTCCCCCAGTGCACGTTATGTTTCCACGAAAGTATGCACATGTAGCACTACCATACTTTGGACGCAGATTGCGTGTTTGCAACAACGTACCTGCAAAGAGCGTATCCATGTCAGGAAGAGGCTGTCCTGCAGTCGCTCCCACAGCCCCTTCGTGCTACCACTCAACACCGCGGTCAAGACGTACATGGACGCGATCTGCAAGACCAGCATTCAAAGCCAGACGTGGGCCAGAGATAGGCATCCAGGGGGGAACGAGAGGGAAGGGTCGACAGGGAGCCACAGCGGCGGTGGGGGGGGGCACACAGATGATAGCTAAGTCATACGGCTATAGCCAACACGACGCAAATACAGCTGAGAGGGGAGCTGGTCGCTCTGTGTCCAAAATATTCGCAGTCGTTCTGAGCCCACGAAGACACAACAGAGACCCAAGGCAGCGCTGCAGTTCGCAGCGGGCTCGCAAAAGGCGACACAAAACCCGACACGACAGATACAACTGTGCTACAACGGACACCGAAGACACAAGAAGGAACCCTTGGTATAGCGCTGTCCAGAATCCACCCTC